CCTTCCCGAGGGAAAGGTGCCCCGTGCGAAATAAATCTGTGTCCCACTGAGAATTCCATCTGAGCCTCCATGCCTCATCCATCCACTCATGCTCTCCATCTGCGTGCTCGCTCCCACCCATTCTCTACCTATCAATGGGAGGAGCTGGAGGGGAGGGGGTGGGCATGGATTTGATCAAAACACCTAATATGCATGAAATTCTCAATAATTTACTTTTTTAAAAAAAATTTGTAGCCGGGCGTGGTAGCACACGCCTTACTACCAGCACTCAGGAGGCAGAGGCAGGTGGATCTCTGTGAGCTCAAGGCCAGCCTGGTCCACATAGTGAGTTCCAGGACAGCTGGGGCTACAGGGAGACCCTGTCTCAAAAAGACCTATGGGGACTCAGGTTTGCTTTGCTTAGCCGGGTCCTGCTGGCTTCGGGGCAGAGGGTCTGATCGGCGGCAACAGAGTCAAACTCTGGGACCTGTGTCTTCCCAACAGGACGATTTATTTTAGAATTCATATGGTTTTTATACATCCCAAGGAACTAGCAGTCACATGGGATATGGCAGTCACATACAAAGATTTGGGTACAAAGAAACAAGACATTTAGTCTGTTAGTTGGCACCAGAAGGATTCTTAAACTTTTACTCAAGGTTATCAATGCCCATCCAGTAATTTATTGGCCACAATGTTTTCTTTTTTAGGGCTAAAAGCATGGTAAACTTTTAGCTTTTAGCTCAGGAGTAAACCTTTGACCTGGCCTAATCTCTTAGCCAGGGATAGCTGAGTTATTTGTTTAGGACAAGGAGATGAGCTAAGGGTTGTTGACCAAGACGCTTTCCCACAGAGCAAGGAGCCTACACTTTTATGACCAGGCCTCCTCCTCCTACCAGCCCAACAGTGTTCTGCAAGGCAGGGATTATCAGAGCCACTGTTTTCAGTACCCCTCCCTTTTAGCAGAGAATGCAGCCTGGACCTATAAGTTTTAGGCTCACCTCACCCTAGGGCCTGGCATCCTGGTTTTCTACAAAGATTGGGGGGGGGGGGGAGAAGGAGAAGGGAAGGGAAGGGAGAAGAAGAGGAGAAAGATTTGTGTCTGGGGGGGTGGTGTATGAGCATGTGACTGCAGGTGCCTGGGGAGGCCAGAAGAGACTGCCTCACGTGGGTGTCCTCTGGAAACAAGTGCTCTTAACGGCTGAGCCATGTCACCATACCCCTCTTTTTTATATTTTTGTTTCTCAGCCTGGGTCTTCCTGTAGCCCCAGCTGGTCTGGAATTCACTGTGTAGATCAGGCTATCCTCGATCTCCGCCAGCCTCTGCCTCCCAAGTGCTGGGAGCGCCACCACGCCCACCACCAGCCTCCATTTGAAAGGTGTGTGACATAAGCAGGTAAGCTGAAGTGAAGACGTGACTCGGAGGGGCAGGGACCGAGCGTGGACCTAGGAGGGGCTCTCTGCTCGCAGCCAGGGCCCCCCCACGGGATAGGAGGGCAGGCGCCGAATGGGTGCGGCCTGGGCCGATGTGCGACACTCCCGTGGGCCCTAGCGGCGGCGTGGCGCTATGACGTAGTCCTGCGGGCCGCCCCCATGCTGCGGCGCCCGCTGGTCGGGCTGGCAGTGGCCGCCCTGTCTCGCGCCGGTGTGGACGGTGAGTGCTGCGGGAGGCGGCGTCTCCTGTGGCCCTTTAACTGCTGGGATGCCGGGCGAATGTTTACCGGCCCGGGACTACACGGGGCCCCCCGCCGCCCCCGCAGCCTAGCCGGTGTCCTTCCTTGGCGCCCTGTATGTTTGGTCCCCTCTCGCCCTGCGCACCCGGCGTTCCGGGCAGACTCAAGCGTCTGGTCCGGCCCGGCTGCCGCTGCCAGTCCTGGACTCTTGGGTCGATCGGAGGTGCAGACATCACGGTGTGAAGATTGGGGTTCAACTTGAGCCTGGTTAGGATTCCTGGAGCCGCTTTGGGCTTGGTGTTCCCGGGCATCGTTTTATCTAACGTGGGAGTGGGCGAGGAAAAGGACACAAGTGAGAGGGTTCTTTCAGGTGGTGGGTGGAGGAGGATCAGTTGAGATGAGCTACCATGTTACGTGTGCTGAGAGGAGAGGGTGGAAGTAAATAAATGGTTGGCTAGCCTTGGGTAAGGCCTCAGGAGAGAAGCGAGGTAGTTGTTCTGTGAGTGCCCCAGTTCACCTTCTAGGGCATCGTGGGTTAGGAAGGGAGCTACCACTAAGGCAAGCAGAATTTCCTGCTACTCCAGCACCTGTGTACCCAGTTTACACTGCCTGCACATTCCAGGCTTTTGCATATCACTGAGTGCCTCATCAGCCGCTGGTGGAGTTTGCCGGGCCTTGGGAACTCCTTGGTCCAGCGCCCGGTCTTTGTGTTGGGGAGGGAAAGACTAGTAGTTTCTTGGAGTTATAAGTTTGAGGCAGTTTATTTCTCTTCCATCACTCTTAAACTTTCTCCTCTGTTTTGACACACCAAAAGCTGGGAAACATGTTGAGGTAATTTGAAGACGAGGAGGTGGAAGGAAGGAAACTAAGGAAGTAAAGGCAGTGAGGGTGAGCCCTGGGGAAGCAGTATGAGGAAGGTTCTTCATTTAGCGCTGGGTGGGCAGGATCACCTCTGCCCCACCCTGTCCCCATTCTTCCTGACTCTGCATGTGCTGGACTTCAGTCTTCCCGTTCTGCCCTTCCCCTCATTTTCCCTGACTCTGCATGTACTGGTTATTGTTTCCATTTCCCTACTCTGTCACCCATCCTCTCCAACTCTGTATGTGTTGGTCCTCAGTTTGCCTTTTCTCCCCTCCCCTGCCCCTTATCCTCCCTGGCTGTATGTACTGGTCATTGTTTTTCCTTCCCCATTCTGTCCCCCAACCTCCTTGACCCTGAGTGTTGACCTCTGTTTCACCCACCCTCAGTCCTCTCACCCGGTCTGTGCTAGGTGTTAGTTTTACCCTATACATGAGAGAAAAGCTGACAAACCCTGCAATGTCCTGGGTCCTTTCATTGTACTCCCTTGGGCTCTGAACTCCTTTTATTTTCCTCTCATGTCCACTCTGCCTCTTGACTATGAATTGGCATCCAGGACCCCGTTCAAGACTCAGCATATTCTTTCCTGCCCTTGATGGAAAGAGACACAAATGGAGCCGGGTAGCACCAGGAAGGTGCAGCAGCCTGCACACGGTTGGCTGCTGCCCTTCTGCCCTCCTTTTGGGAGGCCATGGTATGTCCCTCTGTATCAGGTAGAGGAATGAGAATGAAAATGCTTTGGCTGCTCCTGGTACTACTGTCCTAGTTAGAAGCGGCTCCTGAAGACGGCGGGGGCGGGGGGGTCAGGCCTTGGGACTGGGATTCACCCCCACTTGCCTAGACCTATTTGTAAAGTTTTAGAGGACTAGAAGCAGCTGGTAATTCTCTTTTCCTGGGAGGGCCTCACTCTTGTTGGCAGGAGGGAGGTAATGTCATGACAGATTTTCAGTCCTAGGGGCCCTATAGCAAAGATGGGAAGAGGCTGCGTGCAGAGCTTTGTCCAGGGAAGGTTCCAGCAGAATATGTTCCCTTCCAGTGCCCCTATGGAAATCATTTGCATCTTGGCCCCTTCTTAAGGTTGGCAGGTTTGAGACTCCTTGCCAGGCAGTTGGGGTCTGGGACGGGAAGAGCCAAAGTGAAGGTTCAAAGTGCCTTTAGTGGTCTCCCCAAAGAAAGTTGCCTCTGACCAGCATACACTTCTGTGAGTGTTGGGGCAAAGGCTGAATCGGGTGGTTTCTGCCTCTGGCTGTAGCCCTGCAGAGTTAATTGCCCTGTCACCTGGCTGTTGACTGGAGCTCCTTAGGTTGACCTGGGGCTTCCCCAGGTGCATACTGTCCCTTCAGAGCCCTCAATAGGATTGCTGTCTGCCACTGCACCTCAACAGTGGGCCAGGGTCATCTGGTGTAGTATATAGAAAACAAATGGAGTGTCATCGATGGATACCAGGAGCTGTCAGTGATCTGTAGACTTCATGTGCCAGGTGACGCCCAGTGGGAACTGAGCCATGGGCCAACAGGGCCAAGAGGGTGTCCTGTGTCTTTCTGTCTTTGTTGTAGTTCAGTTCCCTGGGGAGGACAGAAGGGATACTGCAAGCCTGGACTTGAGAGGTTAGGTAGCTCAGCAGGGGTACAAGTGGGGTGTGCAGAGCTGGCTGTGATTCAGGGGTCTGGAGTGTGCATGTGCATGCTGGTGTTTACCCTCCCTCTCACTGGTTGGTCTGCAGGGTGTGTAGTTGGAGGCAGGTGTGGATTTGAGGCTGGAATCTTTGTGATACAAATTCATCCTTATGTGTAATTGGAGGCAGGACATAGAGTAGGGACAGGTGTAGTCATTGCCTAAATGGGCTGGGACCCTCTCCTCAGTAACTCTTACCTCAAGCACTTTGGAGCCTCTTTTTAAAAAAAATATATTTTTTATTATCTTTATTTTATGTGCATGAGTGTTATGCCTAGAGGACAGAGAGGCTGTCGGATCCCTGGAACTGGAGTTATGGACAGTTATTAGCTGCCATGTGGGTGCTGGGATTCGAACCCAGGTCTTCTGTAAGAACAGTCAGTGTTCTTAACTGCTGAGCCATCTCTCCAGCCCCCTGGAGCCTCTCTGAACTCTAGCTCTCCCCTATTGTGATGGTACTGGTTGCTTTTTGAGTCTCAGATCCTGTGTTCTCTTTGGAGTTCACCTGCAGCATTTGCTTGCTGCAGCACTGTGCAGTGAGCCTGCTGAGCCCATGGTGAGCACTGCCTTGAGTCCCTTTTCAGCACAAAGGAACCAGGAGCTCTAGAAATGAGCCTGGTCATTTCAAATGTGCTAAGACAGATGTAGACCCTATACTGGCAACTGCACGTGACCAGCTTATGGCCACCACAGGGAATTTGGGGGCATCGAGCATGTTGGGAAGTGCTAAGCCAGAATGCTTGGTACAGAGGGGAGAGCAGCTTCATGGGAACTGGCATGTGTGGTCTGCAGGGTGCACCCCAGGCCATGGTGGAGGTGGCAGGGTTCAGTGACTGGGGAAAAGGATGTCTATGAGAGGGTGGTAATGAATTGTTGGTCAGGAGAACCTGAAGCCCAGAAAGGAGGAGGCGTGCAGTGGGCAGTATGGTTTAACTGATGCATTTTGAGTAGAGGCAGAAGGGAGCAGAGTTTTACTAACAGCACTGGCAAATGAGGGTGTGTCTCCTTAGGTCCCTTTGTACTGTGCTTTTTGATAGGTGGGTCATGTATTCTCAGGGACCTGTGCTTGTTTTCATTGTTCATGTGTGATGTGCATGTGCATGCACATGTGTCATACATCACACAGTATCTGTGCAGCCTTTGCTTGTGTGGGTGATGGAATACCACCAGCAGCATTGTTTTTGTGAGATTACCTCATGACCTACATAAGGGGTTAAGAACACAAATCTTCCCAGCATGGATACCCTTCCTTCAGCCTCTGTGTCTCAGACCACAAGCTGTCTGGATCTTACCCTTGCAGGTCCAAGATGTTTGGGTTGGCAGGCAGTCCCTCCAGCTCCTAGATACATACCCTCCCTGGTCTCCTCTGCCTAGTTCCAGAAGAGAGCGGCAGCAACTCAGGTCTCCCAGGCCTTGTTATGGCTCTTCCCCACTCCCAAACCCATCCAAGTGCTGCCCTTGCCATTGTGCCCATCAGCTGATGTGGACTAGTTGGACAGGTGCAGGTCTCAAGGGCAGGACAAGGAATTGTCTTTTCCTTCCTCTATGGGAAGCGCTGACTCTTCCCATGGGAAGGGCTGACTCTTTGCAGTAAGCACAGGTAGTGCTGGGTGCCCCAGGGATTTAGCGTTCAGAAGGGCGGGGTGCATGCTTGGCACAGATTAGCCCCCAGCCCTCAGTACACACCAGCCGTTGACTCTTTGCAGGCTAATCACGGAGGCTACATCCCACCAAGTAAGTAAGTGCCATCCTGGGGAGGTAGGATGGGCTTCATAAGCAGAATCCTAACTGGAGAAATGAAAGCCTCCTAAGGGATCAGGCTGGAGGGAGGTGGGAATAGGACTGAGAGTAAGGGTGTTGTGGGAAGGATGCTCAGGCATGGGTTTGGGAGCAGGTGGGGTTAGGTGGTCCTAGGGAGGTGCCAGCAGAGCTACAGGGGAGGAGGCTCAGGTCCTGGGTTGGACTGTGCTGTGGGAGCCTCTGCTACCTACTCCAGCAACTATTCCTCTATGGTTGCTCAGTGCCCCTACCTGGGGCAGGTGTTGAGTTCTGAACCACTTTCCCTTTCCCTTTGGGAGGCTGGGGTGGGTGGGGTGCTCTGCCTGCCCTTCCAGACAGGAGTCAGAGATGGGGGTTGCCTGTCTAGTGGGAAGTTCCCAGAACAGTCTTGAACAGACTTTGAGGATGCCATGTCTATAGGGACAGGTCATTAGCATCTCAGACTTGCCAGGCTAGTGGACAGTGCCACTTATAGGAGCCAAAACCCAGGCTGCAGTGTGAGGTCAGATCCTGGAGGGCAGCCTGTGTGGGGTGGGGTAGTGAGTGCACCATTGTCAGGTTCTGGGTCACTGGGCCTGTGGACATCCTGATGGATGTGGGTGGGGCTCCCTGTTGCTCTGTCAGCCTTCCTGCCTATTTGCTAGATTGATTGCTCTTGTGTGGAGAGTGCATATTACATGGTGATGTTGCCCTGGGGAGGCCCTCACCCCATTGCTTCCCACGGGACAAAATGCCAGGGTACAAATGAGGGCAGCCCCTCATGTCTGTGCCGCCCCTCCTCCCACAGGCATGCCAGGACCTAGGCCAGTGGTGCTGAGTGGGCCTTCGGGGGCAGGGAAGAGCACCCTGCTCAAGAAGCTGCTCCAGGAACACGGCAGTATCTTTGGCTTCAGCGTGTCCCGTGAGTGCTTCAGGACTGCGGGGCAATGAGCTCAGAGGCTGGGGTATCATCCCCAGCATAGGAGCACTCTTAGAGCCCCCAGATGCAAACACCCAGCCAAGAGGATGCTCTCCTCGCTTTCCACAGCCCAGTAACCCTCTCTCTTCCCAGGGCCTCCATCTAGAGTAAGCATCCTAGGTCCCAGAGGCCTCTGACGTTTGGGCCCAACTACTGTAGTAGTACTGGTCCATATGACCACCTGCTGCTGCACAGCAAGAGGGCTGAGCAGGCCTGCCAGGGAGGACCCTGGGTAGGGTAAAAGAATTGCACATCCCTTCAGTAGGTAAGAGATCTTTTTTCTAGATACCACAAGGAACCCACGGCCTGGTGAAGAGAATGGCAAAGGTGAGCTGGCCTGGTAGTCCAGTCCATGGGTCCTAGGCATCAGCTGGTGTGGGAGGTGGCAAGGCCACTTGCCCTATACTCAGTTCCCATCTGGAGAGCATCCCTGCCTTTGGGGTGGTGGCTTGATTAGAACCTTTGCATCATGGAGAGGGCTGGACTTTCTGCCTGCCTGGTGTATGATAGGGGTGTTCCCTTTTCCTGACCATTTCTAGTCCCCCAGTAAGGACAGTGGGGACAGTGGTGTCTGTTCCATCTTGGGTCTGGCCAGAGCAGTCCTAGTTGTGGGGTGAAAAGAGGGGCCGGGCCAGGCAGCGCTGCGCTTCAGGCACCCTCTGGAAAGCCCTCCTCCTCTCCAGATTACTACTTTGTGACCAAGGAGGTGATGCAGCGTGATATCGCAGCAGGGGACTTCATCGAGCATGCAGAGTTCTCAGGAAACCTGTATGGGACAAGGTGGGCCATGTTTGGGGTGGGCCTGGGAACACTAGATCAGGGTACTCCCAGAATTATGGTAGGAAAAGGCTCTCCTCTGTCCCTTCTGACCACATGGCGGCCCCTCCTCTCTCACCTAAGACTGGGCTAGCTGGCTCTTCCCTTAGCCTTTGAGCTTAGCCGATAGTCTCCTGGGGCAGGCAGGCCCTGTCATGCCCCGGGCTCATCTGTCCTCAAGCTATCCTGTGTGGCAAGGAGCCACAGAAGACATCACACAGGGGAGGTAGGCAGTGACAGGCAACTTAGGCTTGCCCAAGAGCCCTGCCACATGGTTGCAGGACCAGTGCAGAGGACTACTGCCAGAGGGCCCAACAGGGCCAAGGTTGTGCATAGTTGTTCTGGGAAGTACAGAGGGTGTTGGCCAACATGAGCCCCAGCATTGCTGTGGCCTGGGGTGGGCCTTGGGGAGAAAGGGGCAGGATTTCCCTGAAGCTCTTGGAGGCCTTAAGGAGCTGCCAAGGTCTAGCAGCTAATGTAAGTGTTCCTAAAGATTCTCAGCAGGCAAGAATCCATGAGGGCTTAGGGGCCAGGGTCTTCCCTTGGACCCTGCTGAGCACCCACTCACCACCATTCCTCGCCCCCAGCAAGGCGGCTGTACAGGCTGTGCAAGCCATGAACCGTATCTGTGTGCTGGATGTGGACCTGCAGGGTGTGCGCAACATCAAGAAGACTGACCTGTGTCCCATCTACATCTCTGTGCAACCCCCTTCCCTGGATGTGCTGGTGGGTACCCAGAATGGTGGGTAGATAGGGCAGACTGAGATCTGGAGACTGCTGACCTAGCAGGGACCTGCATTTCAGGAGCAACGACTGCGGCTGCGAAACACTGAGACTGAGGAGAGTCTGGCAAAGCGACTGGCAGCTGCCCAGGCAGACATGGAGAGCAGTGAGTGCAGACCATTTGTGCCCTCGGGTGTGTGGCCAGTTTATCCACCAGGAGACATGGAGGGCCAAGGATAGGGATGGAAGTGACCCAGACCTTTCTGTCTCCAGGCCCCCAGTCCCCAGGGGACTGCACCCTCTTACTGACCCGGGAGTATTGTGGCATCCTTCTGCAGCTCTGCTTTCCTGGGTCTGACCTTGGCCCACATTCATTTGCTGTTATTCAGACCTTGCTCCCTACGGGCATGTGGCTGCCTATAACAGGCAGTGCCAGTTCTAATGAGAGGCCTGGTGGGACACTGGTCCACATTCCAGTGCTCAGGACTTAGCAGCAGCAAGCCCAGCTGAGGTTCTGTAGAGGAGGGGAAAGGAGAGTACTGAGGATTCTCCCTCCCAACCCTGGACAGATACAGGCCATTCCACAGCTCTAGCAGCAAGAGCAGCCACAGCAGATGATAGGTTGTAGTGGTGTTGACAGGGGTCAGACTCCATTTGTTCTTGACTTCATCCTGTTCTCTCTCCAGGCAAGGAGCCTGGCCTGTTTGACTTGGTGATCATCAATGACAACCTGGATAAAGCCTATGCAATGCTGAAGCAGGCACTCTCTGAGGTGGGCTTCTCCCCACCTGCCCTGTCCCAGAGCCACCACTTGCCCAGACCCTGTCCTTCTGCGGACACTGGCAGGACTTGCCGTGGCCAGGCTTTACGCCCTTGCTGCATTACAGGCAACTGAAGTTCTGCCAGTTGCCCAGCAGCCTAAGCACTGGTACAAGGCTCCAGAGACCCTGCCTCCCCTGATTTTCTCTTTTTCTTCCTCCTTGGCAGGAAATCAAGAAAGCTCAGGGGACTGGCCATACCTGAGGACCTGCTTCTTTCCACAAGGTGCTGCCTGGGCTCCAGGGGGAGCTTTGCCAGGGCACCAAGGACCTGTAATAGGCTTCCATTATGGAGTCAGTGGACTTGCCCCTTGCCTGGCCACATGATGGCTCTGTACCCTTGGCTGCCTTGATAGGCTGAAGGACTGCACAGTGCACCCCCTGTCCACCCTCCTGTCTCTGCCTCTATTCCTGTCCCTTCTGCTAGAGCAGGACTGACATTCTAATAAAGTATTGGGCTAGAGTCTCACAGCCCTCTACACTGGCCCAAGGCCTCTGGCTGCCTGACCCTACCTAATCAGCCCAGATGTAGGGTGCCAAGGGTCTTTGTCCCTGTCCCTACCCAGGGTCTTCCAGTTGTCAGAATGCTGGCTGGGGTTGATCTTGACAGATTACCTCCACCCCCAAGCAGCCAGTGCACTGGGAAGATCAGCATGGACTAGAATAGGGCCCAACCCTGGGGAACCCTCTGCAGCTACCTCTGACCTGTTCCTGAGCCAGTTGGCTCAGAGAGACAGGCAACACTGGCCAGGAAGGAAGGTGCCCAGCCAAAGCAGGGGGAGCAGCATAGGGAGCTGAAGTCATAAAGCTGGCCTTGGGCTTACGGGTCCCATCTGCTCTTATCCTTGTATACACCCTGCCAAGCCTCAAGGAGGGGCAGTGAGCCCTGTCTGGGCTGGTAAAAGGGCCTTCGTAGAGAGTCCAGACCCTGAAGCTCTGGATGTTGCAGTGGGTTGCAGCATTCCTGAGCGAGCTCCCCCCCTTTCCCCACATGAGACAGAAATTCTGAGTGTCTAGATCCTGCTGTCCTTTCCTCTTCCTCTGGGCAGACACCCAGGATGCCTGGCTCCGCCCAGGAGAGCAGTCCCAGCAAGGAGGGCAGTGGTTCTTGCCAGCTACCCCCACCCGGTGGTCAGCCACGGCTCTGCCTAGTGCGTGTCCAGGTGAGGCCACTCCTGGGGCAGGATCCTGGCAGATGGGTGGATGTGGGTGTGGAGAGGGCAGGTAGGCAGGAGCCAGGTGGAAGTGGCCAAGGGAGACGGGTGTGCTGGGCTACCTCCAAAAGTGCAGACGTCCCTCAAGGAGGGTGAGGCAGAACAGCCTGGACCTCCAGTGGAGGATGGGGAGGAGAGGACCAGGATGCGCCTGGGCCCCCAGCAGGCCTGTTCAGCTCCCTGCTGCCCCACCCCCAGGGACAATCAGGGATTCAGACCCTGGGGGGAACAATGGAGCCCTTGAGGGCCCCTCCTCCACCCCCCATTGTGCTTGGTGGTGAGAGGTGGCCCTAGCCCTGGCCCGGCAGTATGCCCTCTGAGAGGAACAGCGTCCGGCCGGCAGGTGGAGAGGCTCAGCCAGAGGCTTGCATTTCCAGCCTGGAGAAGGTAGGGTGCTGCTGGGGCCACATACTGTGGTAAGGGGCTCAGCTGGTCCACACTCAGACAGCAGAGTTGGAGTTTCAGAGTTTCTTGACACCAGCCTCTCAGACTCTGTAGGGGCTGTCACAGGAGGTACCACTCCTGGGACACTCACTGGGGCCATGACCAGACCTTGTCTTGCTGTATCAGAGAGGCTTCAGGGTGTCCATCAGTTTAGGCCCACCTGGGTTCCTGGCTCTTCTGAGGTACTTAGCTCCTTAGTGAAGGGAGGGAGATGGAGCCTAGCTGGTGAGCTCAGGGTGCATTCAGTTACCTCCCCAGCAGCTGAGACCCCTCAGGCTGCAGTAGGATGGGCCAGTCCAGCCCAGCCAGTTGCATCTTGTCCTGAGGCTAGGATGGGAGCAGTGCTGGGCATGAGGCCCAGTCTCCACTTGTTCTGACTGAGCAAACTTCTCTCTTGCTATTTGCCTGCCTGCTGCCAAGCAGACCCTTTCACAAGCTGGGCCTGCACAGCTTCTAATGGGTGGTGGAGCTCTAGGGCTGGCACAACAGCCCTCAGAATGTTGCTGTGATTTTTTTTTTTGGTCTTTTTGAAATGGTCTCCCTTAGCCACAGCTGGCCTGGAACTCACAGAGATCTGCCTGCCTCTGCCTTCCAAAGAGCTGGGACTACAGGTGTGTGCCACCATGCCTGGCCCACTGTAGTTCATTCTAATGTGCTGCCCACCTGCCTGCCCCATCCAGGGACTGGGACTGCAGAGAGTGAGCAAACCCAGGTGCAAGGATGGGTTGCCAAAAGGGGAAGCAAGTCTGAGGGTGGAGGGACCTGTCTAGGAGGGCCTGCTGCCTACTAGGCACACTTGGAGCCTCTGTTATATAGGGAGGCCACCGTGGGCCCAGCTGGGGAATGTGCTTTAGAGGTAGGCAGAGGACAGGACCCTGGCTCAGCAATGAGTGGGCAGGTAGACATGACAGGAGGGCTGAAGAGGGCCAAGAAGAGGGTGAGTTGAGGCTGTCTGCATGGAGTTGGGCATAAATGTGCCTCTTAGACCATTCCAAAGGGGACAGTGGTGCCCGTCGTGGTGGGAGGCAGAGGCAGTTGGATCTCTGCACAGGTTCAGGTCTATACAGCAAGTTCCAAGCCTGCTGAAGCTTAAAAAAGAAAACAAAAAGATGTTCAATGTTTACCTCGTGTGTCGCTAATTCCTCCACCTAGGCCAATGGCTCTTCCTGAAGTGCCGTTTGAGGTTGCCCTCAGCCTGTAGGTGCTGTCCAGGGTAGTGACTCCCTTCCTTCCCTACCAGGCCTGGGCTGGCCCTTTTCTTTCCCTGGTCCTCTATCTCTGAGTGAACAGTGATCCTTCCAGCCCGATCTCCCACCCAGGTGACTGCCTGCTTGAGCTTCCAGTTGAGAGGTGCAGATGAGAAAGGGCAGCAGGCCAGACCTCGCAGATGTACAGCTCAGGGGAGGAGGTGGTATGGCCTCTACTGGGTACCCAGGGGTGAGGGCCGGCATGCCAGGTCCCAGTGCTATTGGCCACAGGTAACCGTCACACCTCTCATCTGTACATCTTGGTAGCTTTGGAAGGCAGCTAGAGACCCCTCGAAAGTATTCATGTTCACGGACAGTTCACTGACCACAAGTCACACCCAGCTGGCTACTTTGGGGTTCTGGTCAATTCAGGGCCTAGGATTGGATGTGAGAAGACATTACAGGGGCGGTCATACCCTCCTAGATCTAGAGAGGTCTTCACAGGGAAACAGGACTGACTGGTCCCACAGCTTAGAGTACACTCACACGGATGAGCTGTGTATTGTGTGTGAGGTGCCCCTTGGTGAAACTGAAGTCCCCCCCGCCCCGGACCCAGCTGTAGGAGTGGCTTTGGGCAGAAGTTTCTTGAATGAACCCTCCAGTTATCTATGAATGAATGTTGGGGGCAGCTCCATACCTCTGTGATAGGGTCCTTTATCTTCAACATGCTTAGATTCCTAACAGGATTTACAGAAAAGTTCCTATGGATTCCCCTCCCTCCCCCCATAACCCAGTCTGCATTAGCACAGAGTGTGTCACCACAATGAACTGAACATTGCTGTCTCTGTTAGCTGAAGGCCACAGTCCATCCAGGGTTCCTTGAATTTGCTCGTCCCCTCCACACACTCGGACACCCCTTGGATGACAGTCCTTTCGTGGCTACCCATGGCTACTGGCATACTCCCCAGGCATTTTGTAGGGGTCCTTTATTGGAAATTGGCTCATGTTTTTCTCATGCTTTGTTGGGGGCTGTGAGTGTCAGGGGGAAGGCTACTGGGGTGATGAGTCCATCTTTATAGATGGTATGACTTAATGGCCATGATACCCTGAGTTGCCTGCTCAAGTGTGTTCACTCCTAAGTGCCAACTCCTTTCACTCGGGGTGGAGGTGTGCACCCTAGTCCTGTGTGGAATGCCTCTGTAAGTGGTTTGGAGGTTCTTGGGTTAGGGGTTGTCTCCTATCCTCAGTGTGGTTTACTCATCGATGCAGTCGCAGACACCTGGGCTATCTAGAGCCCAATCTGCAGTCTGTAACCCTACCTTTTAAAATGTATTGCTCAGGTTGTTGGAGCTTCACTGTCTCCTACTGACACACCTGTCAATGTTCTTGAATGCATGTGTATGTAAGCATGGCCTTCCTTGCTGTGCTTGCTCCAGATTCTTCTTGTGTGTCCCCTGCCCAGCCATCCAATCAGCCACTTCCCCAGGGAGTCCCAGTTCCTCTTACTGGAATAGACGTTAGAAACCAAGACCTGGGACCCAGATATGTTCTTTTGTTTGTTTTGTGGTGGGAGAGGGGCTTGAGAAAGGGGTCTCAATATAGCTCAACTCATTGTGTAGCTTAGGATGACCTTGAAACCCTGATCCTCCTGCCTCTACCTCCCAAGTGCTGGGATTACAGGTATGAAACCATCACTTGTCCCTCAAGGAGGGTGAGGCAGAACAGCCTGGACCTCCAGTGGAGGATGGGGAGGAGAGGACCAGGATGCGCCTGGGCCCCCAGCAGGCCTGTTCAGCTCCCTGCTGCCCCACCCCCAGGGACAATCAGGGATTCAGACCCTGGGGGGAACAATGGAGCCCTTGAGGGCCCCTCCTCCACCCCCCATTGTGCTTGGTGGTGAGAGGTGGCCCTAGCCCTGGCCCGGCAGTATGCCCTCTGAGAGGAACAGCGTCCGGCCGGCAGGTGGAGAGGCTCAGCCAGAGGCTTGCATTTCCAGCCTGGAGAAGGTAGGGTGCTGCTGGGGCCACATACTGTGGTAAGGGGCTCAGCTGGTCCACACTCAGACAGCAGAGTTGGAGTTTCAGAGTTTCTTGACACCAGCCTCTCAGACTCTGTAGGGGCTGTCACAGGAGGTACCACTCCTGGGACACTCACTGGGGCCATGACCAGACCTTGTCTTGCTGTATCAGAGAGGCTTCAGGGTGTCCATCAGTTTAGGCCCACCTGGGTTCCTGGCTCTTCTGAGGTACTTAGCTCCTTAGTGAAGGGAGGGAGATGGAGCCTAGCTGGTGAGCTCAGGGTGCATTCAGTTACCTCCCCAGCAGCTGAGACCCCTCAGGCTGCAGTAGGATGGGCCAGTCCAGCCCAGCCAGTTGCATCTTGTCCTGAGGCTAGGATGGGAGCAGTGCTGGGCATGAGGCCCAGTCTCCACTTGTTCTGACTGAGCAAACTTCTCTCTTGCTATTTGCCTGCCTGCTGCCAAGCAGACCCTTTCACAAGCTGGGCCTGCACAGCTTCTAATGGGTGGTGGAGCTCTAGGGCTGGCACAACAGCCCTCAGAATGTTGCTGTGATTTTTTTTTTTTGGTCTTTTTGAAATGGTCTCCCTTAGCCACAGCTGGCCTGGAACTCACAGAGATCTGCCTGCCTCTGCCTTCCAAAGAGCTGGGACTACAGGTGTGTGCCACCATGCCTGGCCCACTGTAGTTCATTCTAATGTGCTGCCCACCTGCCTGCCCCATCCAGGGACTGGGACTGCAGAGAGTGAGCAAACCCAGGTGCAAGGATGGGTTGCCAAAAGGGGAAGCAAGTCTGAGGGTGGAGGGACCTGTCTAGGAGGGCCTGCTGCCTACTAGGCACACTTGGAGCCTCTGTTATATAGGGAGGCCACCGTGGGCCCAGCTGGGGAATGTGCTTTAGAGGTAGGCAGAGGACAGGACCCTGGCTCAGCAATGAGTGGGCAGGTAGACATGACAGGAGGGCTGAAGAGGGCCAAGAAGAGGGTGAGTTGAGGCTGTCTGCATGGAGTTGGGCATAAATGTGCCTCTTAGACCATTCCAAAGGGGACAGTGGTGCCCGTCGTGGTGGGAGGCAGAGGCAGTTGGATCTCTGCACAGGTTCAGGTCTATACAGCAAGTTCCAAGCCTGCTGAAGCTTAGAAAACAAAAAGATGTTCAATGTTTACCTCGTGTGTCGCTAATTCCTCCACCTAGGCCAATGGCTCTTCCTGAAGTGCCGTTTGAGGTTGCCCTCAGCCTGTAGGTGCTGTCCAGGGTAGTGACTCCCTTCCTTCCCTACCAGGCCTGGGCTGGCCCTTTTCTTTCCCTGGTCCTCTATCTCTGAGTGAACAGTGATCCTTCCAGCCCGATCTCCCACCCAGGTGACTGCCTGCTTGAGCTTCCAGTTGAGAGGTGCAGATGAGAAAGGGCAGCAGGCCAGACCTCGCAGATGTACAGCTCAGGGGAGGAGGTGGTATGGCCTCTACTGGGTACCCAGGGGTGAGGGCCGGCATGCCAGGTCCCAGTGCTATTGGCCACAGGTAACCGTCACACCTCTCATCTGTACATCTTGGTAGCTTTGGAAGGCAGCTAGAGACCCCTCGAAAGTATTCATGTTCACGGACAGTTCACTGACCACAAGTCACACCCAGCTGGCTACTTTGGGGTTCTGGTCAATTCAGGGCCTAGGATTGGATGTGAGAAGACATTACAGGGGCGGTCATACCCTCCTAGATCTAGAGAGGTCTTCACAGGGAAACAGGACTGACTGGTCCCACAGCTTAGAGTACACTCACACGGATGAGCTGTGTATTGTGTGTGAGGTGCCCCTTGGTGAAACTGAAGTCCCCCCCGCCCCGGACCCAGCTGTAGGAGTGGCTTTGGGCAGAAGTTTCTTGAATGAACCCTCCAGTTATCTATGAATGAATGTTGGGGGCAGCTCCATACCTCTGTGATAGGGTCCTTTATCTTCAACATGCTTAGATTCCTAACAGGATTTACAGAAAAGTTCCTATGGATTCCCCTCCCTCCCCCCATAACCCAGTCTGCATTAGCACAGAGTGTGTCACCACAATGAACTGAACATTGCTGTCTCTGTTAGCTGAAGGCCACAGTCCATCCAGGGTTCCTTGAATTTGCTCGTCCCCTCCACACACTCGGACACCCCTTGGATGACAGTCCTTTCGTGGCTACCCATGGCTACTGGCATACTCCCCAGGCATTTTGTAGGGGTCCTTTATTGGAAATTGGCTCATGTTTTTCTCATGCTTTGTTGGGGGCTGTGAGTGTCAGGGGGAAGGCTACTGGGGTGATGAGTCCATCTTTATAGATGGTATGACTTAATGGCCATGATACCCTGAGTTGCCTGCTCAAGTGTGTTCACTCCTAAGTGCCAACTCCTTTCACTCGGGGTGGAGGTGTGCACCCTAGTCCTGTGTGGAATGCCTCTGTAAGTGGTTTGGAGGTTCTTGGGTTAGGGGTTGTCTCCTATCCTCAGTGTGGTTTACTCATCGATGCAGTCGCAGACACCTGGGCTATCTAGAGCCCAATCTGCAGTCTGTAACCCTACCTTTTAAAATGTATTGCTCAGGTTGTTGGAGCTTCACTGTCTCCTACTGACACACCTGTCAATGTTCTTGAATGCATGTGTATGTAAGCATGGCCTTCCTTGCTGTGCTTGCTCCAGATTCTTCTTGTGTGTCCCCTGCCCAGCCATCCAATCAGCCACTTCCCCAGGGAGTCCCAGTTCCTCTTACTGGAATAGACGTTAGAAACCAAGACCTGGGACCCAGATATGTTCTTTTGTTTGTTTTGTGGTGGGAGAGGGGCTTGAGAAAGGGGTCTCAATATAGCTCAACTCATTGTGTAGCTTAGGATGACCTTGAAACCCTGATCCTCCTGCCTCTACCTCCCAAGTGCTGGGATTACAGGTATGAAACCATCACTTCCATCTCCAGATGTGTTCATGCTCCAAGTGTTTCTTCATTTAGGTCCTTTCGGGGCACAGAGCAATGACATACATACATGTGCACAAACCACACTTTCCACAGTGTCTCTAAATATTCTGGATAAAAGCCTGCCTGTCTCGTGCTGAACGTGAGTATATTCTGGAGTCTCCAGCTGTGGTTCTTTATAACATGGGTGTTCATCAGGCACACTGATGGAACAGTGATGTCAGAAGTTAACTTTTCCTAGGGGTTAGGAAGCATTTGATAGGCAGATTGGATGGTTGAGTGTGTGTGTAGGTACTAATGCACATGTGTTGAGTGTGCATGTACATAAAACGTGCATAGTCTTGTGCCTGTGTTAATCAGGCACAAGGCAGGGAAAGGGTAGTGAGCCAGCTAAAGAATGGGCAGGCCACTGGGGCTGTGGCTGGGTGAGAACCTGACATTTGCACTAGTTAGAAGACGATGGAGGAGCTGGGTACTGGTGCATGCCTACAACCCCAACACTTGGCAGGCAGAGGTAGGAGGATCAAGAGTTCAAGGTCATCTTCAACGATACAGTGAGTTTGAGATCAACTTGTACAACATGAGACCCTGTCTTTTGAAAAACTGCCCATTGGAGGGCAGTTAGGGGAGATCTGATGGGTGGACAGATTCTATCTAAAATACCGTAGTCGATACAGAGCCAGGTTCATAGGGAAGAGTGGAGTGGCTCAGATCTGGAGGGGCAGTGACCACCTGGGCCCAAGTGATGCAGGGTGGCAAGTGTGGGTTCAGAGTTTGCTGATAGATTGGAGACATCCAGGACATAGCTACCAATGTAAAGTGTCCAAGGATGGAGATAATTGCTTTGTAGGGAAGATTGGCATATGGTTTGACCCTCTGTAGTTTAGGTGTCTGCTGGTACTCCAGTGCCAAGGCTAGGCAGGAAAGAGTTCCAGGCTAGAGCTTTGAAGTCTGACTTTTTGAGGTCAGCTCTAGGACACAGCACTGAGCACCAGGCTTGAGAGCAAATAGCTATGACTGCATGCATGTGTTGAGTGATAGAGGTCCTCCCAGGGCAAAGCCTCATTGTCAGACCTGCAGCAAAGTCAGCCAAGGGCTAAGCCACAGTGTCTCACTGGTGACCTGCACAAATCTCAACTCCTTGTACAGTGCTCATCAACCGTGGCAGGAGCACATCTACCAAGGAATTTGCGAACTGCCAACCAAGACCTTCCCAGAGAGCCAGTTAAATATGCACAATGGTAAGGCAATTTTGTCCAGGGACTCCTGGTTCCAGCTCCTGCTTGGTCTGCACTGGTGGGCCTTTGGTTCCTAAGATTGAGGTCTTCCTGGGCAGGAGCTGGGTCTGTAGCTGGTAAGGGAATTGAAGCCACTCCCGAGAGGACACCAGGTGTGTCCATGCCTGCCTGAGGTAGAAAACTGGCAGGGGTGGACCCCGAGGGTGTGCCAATCTGTGAATGTAGGTGCACCCATGTTGTGCAATGCCCTAAGAGGCCAGAAGAGGGTGTCAGATTCCCTGGAACTGGAGTTATGGATGCTTGTTAGCCGCCATGTGGGTGCTGAGAATCAAACTTGGGTCTTCTGCAAGAGCAGTCAGTGCTTTTAACTGCTGAGCTATCTCTCTAGCCCTTGTATGTGCATGTGTAAGTGATCATATGTGTACCTGAGTGGACAGTTCTGTGTGAATGAGCACTTGTGATAATTTGGACCTGTAAGTCAGAGTCTCTATGTGAGGTTGAGTTTGTGCATATTGGTGTTGGTATGTCTGAATGTGTGTGTGCCAGCATGTGTGTGTGCATTTATGAATGCATATGTGTCTGTGTACATTTGTGTCTGAATGCATGTGCATGCATATGGGTATGCATTGTGTGTACATATCTGTGAATGTGTACCTGTGTGCATATGAGAGTAACCGTGTATGTGTGTTTGTGCCTGTGAATGTTTGCATACACACACACATGCACTTGTATGTGCATGCCTATATACAAATGATATGTTTCTGTGATTGCACACATGTCAGTGTGTGTAACCTCAAGAGGGGATGCACGGATGTGAGGATGTGGGGCCACTTCCTCAGGAACCCCTGCTGTCCCGCTGGCTGCCCCCTTTTCCTGCCCTGAGGGGAGAGGCCCTAGCTACATAAAGAGACCTGGAGCCTCAGCTTCTGATACTGGTCCATACCTGCTGCCGCTGCCTCCCAGGCCCAGAAGTGTCAGTAGTGTCAGTGTCGGCTGCTTTGGGGACTCCTGCCCCAAATCTTCCCAGGAGCAGGTACTGACTCTGGGATGTCTGTGAGGAGGGAGAATGGGCATCAAGGAACTGCAGAGCTCTGGTCTGCAACATGCCTGCCCAGAACTGAGCTGGTCTGGGATGTTGCCATTTCTGAGGCTCATAGAAGCCTGTGTGCCTGTGTATCACCATGTCTACAGCTTCACTGGACATGGTCCTGCCTAGACAGATGCTGGGACAGTTTAGGGAACTAGGATCTTGGACTGGGTAAGGAGGGGCCCTGGATGGTCTAGGGGTATGCATTGTGTGTGTGGGAAGAGCAGCTGACAGTAGGTGCAACAGGACCAGTAAGGTGCTTGGGAAGGACGAGCATCATTTATTGAAGGGACTCCTGGAGTTGCTGTGCAGGGTGTGGAGAGAAAGGTTAGGGCTTCTAGAAGGTTGGACACTAAACAGTTGGGGAGGTCTGGGGGCTCACGGTACCTCAGGACTGTGGGGGACTTTTGTGATCACAAAAGGCGGGGAAGCAGCAGCAGTTCAGAGGGTTGCCATCAGCTCGGTCTGAGCTAGGCTGTTGCCCTCAGTTTCCCCTCTGCCAATGAAGACAGTGCAAGTAGTGGACTCCCTCCCAGGCTCTATGGCTCCTGGGGGGTTGGGACAGAGGTGCACTTTTCACAGGTTGGGACTTTCCTGGGGAACTTTGGAGGAGGGAGCAGGAAGGGTAGGGGCAGGGGTGAGTGGGAGATGAGGCTTTGCCTCAGGAAGCTTGTCCTCAGCTAGCACAGAGGGTGAGGATGCAGATGAGACTTTTTTCTTTGCAAGGTAGTGTGCTTCTATTGACCTGGGGCGCATAAGCAGAGAGAATCCAGTTGCTGGACAAGCCTGTGGGCACCCCTCAACTCGGCTCCGAAGTTCCCAGCTGCCCCCTGCCGGGGCCCTGCTGACTACTACCCATGCCTGCAGGTCCCGCCTGCTCGCTCCCATGACCAATATGAGCTGGAGCTTCCTGACGCGGCTGCTGGAGGAGATCCACAATCATTCCACCTTCGTGGGCAAGGTGTGGCTCACCGTGCTGGTGGTCTTCCGCATTGTGCTGACGGCCGTGGGCGGCGAGTCCATCTACTCGGATGAGCAATCCAAGTTCACCTGCAACACGCGGCAGCCGGGCTGCGACAACGTCTGCTACGATGCCTTCGCGCCCCTGTCACACGTGCGTTTCTGGGTCTTCCAGATCGTGGTCATCTCTACTCCCTCAGTCATGTACCTGGGCTACGCGGTCCATCGCTTGGCGCGCGCCCAGGAGCAAGAGCGCAGACGTGCCCTCCGCCGTCGCCCAGGCCCCCGCCGTGTGCCCCGGGCGCACCTGCCACCACCACCTCCAGGTTGGCCGGACGCTGCAGATCTGGGCGAGGCGGAGCCCATGCTGGCGCTGGAGGATGAGGAGGAAGAGGAGCCGGGGGCTCCTGAAGGCCTCGGGGAGGACACCGAGGAGGAGCGCGGGGAGGAGGCGGCCGCCAAGGGAGCCTCAGGCGACAGCAAGCCGCTGGCGGCCTCTGTGGGTCCGGCAGGGCAGCACGACGGGCGGCGGCGCATCCAGAGGGAGGGCCTGATGCGGGTGTACGTGGCCCAGCTGGTGGTCAGGGCGGCCTTTGAGGTGGCCTTCCTGGTGGGCCAGTACCTGCTGTACGGCTTCGAGGTGCCTCCCTTCTTCGCCTGCAGCCGCCAGCCCTGCCCGCACGTGGTGGACTGCTTCGTGTCGCGGCCCACGGAGAAGACGATCTTCCTGTTGGTCATGTACGTGGTCAGCTGCCTGTGCCTGCTGCTCAACCTCTGCGAGATGGCGCACCTGGGCCTGGGCAGCGCGCAGGACGCCGTGCGCGGCCGCCGAGGGGCCTCTGCTCCGGGTCCGGGCTCCGCGCCGCGGCCGCCGCCCTGCGCCTTTCCCGCGGCTGCCGCCGGCCTGGCCTGCCCGCCGGACTACAGCCTGGTGGTGCACGCGGCAGAGCGAGCGCGTGCGCACGACCAGAACTTGGCTAACCTGGCGCTGCAAGCGCTGCGGGACGGGGCGGCGGCGGCGGCGGCGGGGGACCGGGACAGCCCGCCCTGCGCAGGGCTCAACGCAGCTTCCCGGGGGCCACCGAGGGCCGGCGCCCCAGCCTCTGGAACCGGCAGCGCCACGTCGGGGGGCACGGTCGGGGAGCAGGGCCGGCCGGGGCCTCACGAGCAGCCTGCCAGTAAGCTCAGGGCCGGCTCAGAGAAGGGCAGTACAGGCAGCAGGGACGGAAAGGCCACTGTGTGGATATGAGGGCACTGGGGAGAGCTTAGGGAGGGCCTGACGTGGGGGCTCTGTGGAAATCTATGTCCTCAGTTGTGACAGCAGGCAGAACCTGGTGGCACCGGGCCCACCCTGGAGGAGGGAAAGGAGGTGAAGGCCCTCGGGAGGCACTGGCTCCAGCACCTCCTTGCAGGGTGGGAAGGGAAGCCATCAGAGCTGTGTCCCAAGCACTGACAGCACCTCCAGGCCATGCTTAGCATGGATGGCCCTCCCCTCTGCTTGGGGCTACCAGTCTTCCCTCCGAAGCTCTCCTGCAGCTGCCCCATAGGACGGGGTGTCTGGCCTAAACCTTTTGGGTGACTTTGCTTGTCTTATTCCCTGCAGCAGCCTATGGGGTTCTCTGTAGCCCCCTCAGCCCTTACAGAATTGGGCCACTCCCAGGTCTTCCTTGCACAGAGCCAAGGCAGGTCCTGGACAAGCAGCTCCCTGTGCTCAGTCCCCAGTCTACACCCAGCTTCTGGCTCCTGGCCTGAGCAGAGTGGGTGAGACTGGAGGAGGCCTGGACTGAGCACCACCACCTCTCCCTGAGCCGTGATGGCCTGGCATTGCTCCTTCCTTGGGGACATCCTAGATGTTCTGTCATGCAGTACTGCTTGGATCCACAAGGCTGTGATCCAGGGCTGTGGCTTTGGCCATGCTGGGGGATGGAGCTCTCAGAACCTGTCCCCAGCTTCTATGCTCTTCTCCCTAATTCAGAGCCAACCTTAAAAACAAAGGAAGTAAAAATAAAACTAACTTTTGTTTACAACTGAGTGTGTACATGTGCTTATGTGTCTGAGCCCACATGTGCACTGCTCACTATGCACCATGCCTGTGCATGTGTGTAAATGTGACTCCATGCATGTGTATGTTGTGAGCCTGTGTGTGAGTGTGCATACATTTGGAAATGTGTCCACTGCAGTTCACTGGGGGAGACACAGCTCAATTACAGAGGCCTGGGAGAGGAGACCCCTGCCCAAGGACAGGCTGGGGAGTAAGGCTGGAGACCAAACCCAGGAGGTCATCAGACCTACAGTGTGCCACTCTGTGCCAGGCAGCATGCCAGGGTTGGGTGGTGGGGGCTTAGTGGAGCACACAGATGTCAGAAACAAAGAACAGTCAGGCACAAGGTCAGCCTGCAGCTCAGGGGACAGAGGTATTGGAATGCAGGCCAGGATAGCAGTGATGACTTTGGAGAGACAGGAGAGGGAAGTACAGGGGAATACAAGCTACTTCCATCCAGGACCCACCTTAGTGCAGACTCTAGGTGACCAGTTACCTCCTAACCTCTGAGGGAAGCCCCTGTACCACCCTGCAGGCTGCACCCTCCTACCCCCAGGCCAGGCATGCCTGAGCCTGAGCCTGACCTTAGCTTGACTGTGGTCTCTTGTGAACCTAATTCTCTGTTGAACCTTACCTCCAGGTGTGTCTGACCTCCAGGTAAGCCCTAATCCAGGGGAACCCTGACTCTAGGCTGAGTATCAGTTGAACCCCACCTCTATGTGAGTCTCGAAAACTGAGTGAGCCTCATCCCCATAAAATCACACATGACCATGCTAGGAACAGAGTCTCAGGAAGGGGGTAAATCCCAACCCACAGCAGTGTCTCCTCCAGTGGAGACCACCTGCCAGCATCTTTGCTGGGGAAGGGTCCACATTTAAGCTCTTGTAGGTTTTGGGCTGGGCTGCTAGAATGCCATCATAGGGTAGGGGAAGGGACTCTGTGCTGGGGTGGGGCATGGTGTCAAGAATGCCTGCGGGCTGTGTATGATGGCACATGCCATTAATCCAAGCATTTGGGAGGCAGAGACAAGGGGATCTCTGTGAAGCTGAAGCCAGCTTGGTCTACATAGGGAGTTTTAGGCCATCTGGGACTACAGGGAGACCCTGTCTCAAACAAACAACAAACAAACAAACAAACAAAGAAAAACAAATAGAATGCCTGGCAACTGAATGTGGCTCTCACCCTCCCTTCACCTGTTCTAATCAGCCTTCACCTGATTGGACAAAGCCCACTATTGGCTTTCCTCACTCTACTGATTCAAACGCTGCTTATCTTACAGGCAAACACTCTCCCAGACACACCTATGACAAGATTTTTAATCAGTTATTATTAATTGATACATTATAATGCTACATATCTATGGGTTACAGTCTGATAACTAACAGGTGTCTACAATGATCAGATCAGGCTATCGGTATGTCTGTCTCCTTAAATAAATATATCCCAGCACTTGGAAAGCAGAGGCAGGTGGATCTCTGTGAAAGCAAGGCCAGCCTGGTCTACATGGTAAGGTCCAGGCCAGCTAGGGATACAGGGAGACCCTTGTTTCAAAAACACCAAAAAAAAAAAAAGAAAGATACATTGTTTTTCAAAGCCTTAAAGCTCTCCCTTCTTTACTTTTAAAAATGAAGCATATGAAATATATATATTTATATGAAATTTATAAATTAGAGCATAACAAACTAGATACCTAGGCCTCTTTATGAACTGGTAGAGCTGGTTTCTCGGTGAACTCTGTTAGGCAGAGGTCTTAAGCTCATCTTGGAAGGACACCTCTGCAAATTAGCAGAAAGCTTCCCAGTGAAGTCTATGTGGACAGTGAAGCCAGAAGCTGGACCCGAAAAACCATGAAACTTACTCAAAAGCTGTAAATTTAGCTCAGAAGCCATCTTCTTGCACAGGAGTCCTAGACCGGGCCTTGTGAATGTAGCTTTTGTTTAATAAAGTTCTCTGTAAGTTTAGCTTAGTGTGAGTTCTAAAAGGTGACAGCTGACCACCAGCCCTTGCTCTCCTCGCTTCACTGTTCTTCCTCATCCTAGAAACTTCTTTGTGGGCCTTTCCTGAGCCAGCACTCCCTACATTATCTTCCACCTAACCAAAGTCTCCTGCATTCATTCAGTTCAGTCAAATAGAAGCTTCTCAACTCAACCCCTAGTTTATATACAGGCCCAAACCAGCAAGGCCCAAGTGCTGGGCATAAAAAGGGCCCAGGCAAGGCCAGATCGACAACTCACTTTCGAGTCCCCTCTTTTGTGGGGAGCAGCATCTCCACCCAATAAAGCTTTGCTTGCTCTTCTACAGTTCTCGCTGTCATTCTTTGCAATCAAGTGACAACGAACCTGGGAGCCATCGGCTCATAGTGACCTTGGTGGTCATTGAGTTTCCAGGGCCCTGGTTCTCTGAATTAAGCCCACCTGCACCAAGAAATAGCCTTTGTCACACTCAAAGTTCCTAGCAACACTAGTGGACACATAGTGCTCCCCATCCTGTAGAGTCTGGAAGTAGAATAGCTTCTGTTTTGAGGAAACTGCAATTTACTTAGCTGGACAGAGAGAACAGTGGGCAGTCTGTGACTGTAGCTCCTGTCAGTTCTGTTTCTCTGGAGTTCCTTGGCGTCTACCAGCTGCCCGGGAAGGACACAAAGCTGTAATTGTAGGTGATCAGTCTGCTTGGGCTCCTGTCATGTTTGACCTACACTGGGCTCCTTGTACACAGAACTGGAGTCTCCCATAGACCCGAGAGCAGCAAGCCTAAGACCAGGTACCACATGGCAGGCTGCTGCCAAGACTTTTCTCCTGGGCATGCAGATGCCATCTTTCCCCTATGTTCTCACAGGGTAGTCCTGTGTCATTGTCTGTGTCCCTATCTCTTCTACTTATAAGGACACTGACCATGTTGGATTAGGAATACCCTGCCCATATCAGGAGGCATTTTCCCAGCTGAAAGCTCTGTACCTATGGAAGTAGGGATCTTTGATAGTGTTGACTTAAGTCCTGGTGTTCCACATTCATGATTAGAGTGTCCCTGGATGTCTCTGGCTTGTGCTGGCCTAGTCCCAATCTCCATGCCATCCACTGGTCTTACTTTGAAGACCAGTTCTCTGGTGCTATGTGACTTTCCCTATTCATCCCAGATAGAGAGGGCAATGGTAAACCAAAGAGAAGAGTCTGTCCAACTCCAGTTTGGTGAAACAGTGAGTTCATTAGGGTTACGTACAGGAAAATGGGGACCCACAGGCAGCTAAATGACCAGGAAGTCCCCTAGGCCATTCATGGGTACTACACCACTGGAGTCCCACACACAGCATGGACAACTCAGGAAAAGCCGCGCCCTTGTAGAAGTAGCCACACTATTGAAGAGTCTACAGGCAGCAGCTTACCTCCTGTATAGCTTTGGGGAGTGGTGGGACCTAGTGAGAAGGCCTTGAAGGCCCGGTGAGCCCCAAGAGCCTCCTTGCTCTGTCCATAAGGGAATGTTAAGGGCTGGATCAATTGCTTTGATTCAAGATGGTATAACCACATCTGACCCAGAGAACTATCTACTGTGCCTGAGCCCTGAGCCTCAAGCTGGGCTGTGGCTTTTCACTACTGTGAAAACTCTAAGATGCTCAACTGTCTTAACTCCCAGAGTTGAACCTACCCTACCACTACCTAGCATTTAACAGCCACTTAGCTACTTAAAAAACAAAGCTCCATGCCTCAGTTTCTCTATCTCCCTGGGATAGTCACAGGCCCCAATGAACGTTGTTGACCAACTCCTATCTATCACTACTCTCCTCCTTCCTCAACTCTTGAGCCCTGTGGCCCTGGCTGGTAGGCCCACCCTTATTCCATGCTGCATGGCGGTCATGCCCTGCTGGCACAGGATCAGTTGAGAATGGCCTCTTGTCTCATCCCCATCCGTTTCCACAGCCTTAGCCAACTGGCTGCTTCTCGTGAGAGCTTGTGGAAGGCGGCATGTTCAGAGACACCCCTAGAATGGGGGCAGCCTCCTTCTCCTTCCTCTGGAAAGGGAGGAAGCCATAAGGAGAGAAAAACAGGAAACCACCGCCACCCTGGGAAGTGGGGTCTGGGACCCCCAGCTGGTCAATTTTCCAGCTCTCCCGCCCCTCCTGATGGCAGCAAAACCTGGGTCTCTGGGGATGCTGGCAGTGGCTCCAGTTGTGCTGTGCCCTGAGCCCAGGATGGGCCCCTCCATTCCATGAAGCCTTCAGGCCAGGCCACAGTCCCCTCCTTATATAAGAAGGATACCAGCCCAAGCTCTAGGCCTTGTAGAGATTGCTGGACATTGGGGTGGCAGCTTGACATAGAGGATCCACAGAGCTTTCTGGGTAGAGCTTGCAGTCACCATCACTACATCTCAGGTGCCAAGTTCCATTTAATTTCCTTGGGGTCCATTAACATGGCACAGGTCATGACTGCCAGCCAAGGCAGCTTTGGCAGAAGCTTTCTGGTACATTTTGAGTGATCCCAGCCAGGGCACTCAGGTACTGGGTGGACTGCTTGCTCGCCCTTCCTGCCGGCCCTGCATGGGTGGGAAGCCCATTCCTCTTGTGCTGGCCAGGGACAAGCTGACGTGAGGCCTGAGGAATGTGACCCCTGACCCTGTGGGTGTAGCCCCCAGTTAGTGTTGTCCTGTCCTGGCTTCCGTCAGTAAGGCTGGCAGGGGCTGCTGGATCACCCTCGGGCCTAGGGAAGGGGAAGTTATGGCCTGCCAGGGGCATGCATTCCAGTGGTAGCAATTGTCAATCAGGAAGTCTGCAGCCTGAGGGGAACTGTGTGCAGGAGACTGTTAATGGGGGCCTGGCTGGACCTCCATTAGCCCAGATTGTCCCAGCACAGGCAGGTTCAACTTGGAGGTATCCAGGGTCTCACTGGGCTTGAGGAAGACAGGAGGGGCTTGAAGTTCAACAGCAGGGCCTGGAGTGGGGGGATATACAGTTGCTCATCCTC